AATCGAATCTGGCAATGCACGTTCCGGGGAATGGGCCGGCGCTGCGAGGGTGTGGGGAGAGTGGATGTGGAGGGGGTGCGGGGAGAGGGAAGACAGGCCACTCGAGGAGTCAGACCCCGGCGGCGGCAGGTGAGCGGCAAGTCATGCACACAGACGGACACGGACAGGCATGCCAGGCCCACGGAGCAGACTACTTACTTCAAGGACCTGCTGCTCCATCCCAGGGGAGGGAGGGAGGTCGGGAAGGAGAGGCAGGAGGAAAGAGAAGACGCGGACAGACTTTAGGAAAACATCTTTGGGCCCTTCACGAAGCAGGGAGCAGCCCGCCTCAGGCCTGACCAGGTTAGCGGATTCCTTAACCACAGCGGGTGCCCGTGTGCCTGGCCCTGGTCTGTCCTCCAAAGTGTGACTCAGCCACGGGCGGCTCTTTTGGGCACGTGGCTGAGGGTCCTCGGAGCAGATCAGGGAGCAGCCTCCCAGGAAAAGGCCTGTTTGGGTGCCGGTATGACCCCCCTTCTCCTCACCGCCCACACCTGCGTGCTCCCAGGATCGCCTCCTCAGTGCTATGCTGCTCTGCCCTCCCGCCCACGCAGGGCCACAGACCCCGATGGTCACGCGTCCACTTTCAATGACATTACAACCACCACACCCAGCGCTTCCCATGTGTAAACTTACCAAATGCCCCCAACCACCCTCGAAGCAGCTACTCTACTACGCTCACTTTCGGGATAAGAACAGCCCGTTCAGGCGAGTAAACGGGACCCGGTGGAGTGGAGGGGGGGAAGACTCCCTTCCCACCTCCCGTTGAGGATGGGCCCGATGCTTTTGGAGGAATCAACATACTCAGTACAAAGCAGGTCACTCATGATTTCAACACCCTGAGCAGTAACTCAGCTCCCTTCTCCTCCGACCACGGGCTCCCCGGGAGCGTGGCCCGTGCTCCCCTTAGCCTCTCGCCGCCCTGTCTCTCTAGGATCTGAGGGCGCAGGGCTGGTTCCCGGGTCAGAGGGCTCCTTCTCGGAAAGACCGGACGCAGCGCCCGCCAACAGGAGAGCACCTGCACCCCAGCGGCGTGCCCGGGGCTCACCTCGGCCTGCAGGCTCTCCAGGCGGATGATGTGCTGGCTGGTGGACGAGTTCTTCTCCCGGAAGTCCTCTCGGAGGGCGTGGACCTGCAGGGACAGCTGTCTCTCCACCTCCGATGCCTGCAAGCAGAGAGACCTTCAGAGGGGGCGCCACGGCGGCTGCTCCGGTTCTCTGCCTTTCCTTTCTCAAGCGCTTGTTTCTCTGCAACTCTATTCTCTGAGGAGAAGATGAGAGGCTGGTTTCCTCCCCGGGCTCGAAGGTCCTCTAGCACCCACACGAGGCAGGCCCCTGCCCCCACCTCCACCATCAAGGGCTCTGTCGGGGTCCAGACCACTCTGCTGGTCAGAGGCCAAAGGTCTAGAAAGGAGTCAGCTCGGAAAGGTTACCAGCATCATCGTGACTCGGCACACGGCGGCAGCTCAGCAAAGCCTCGGCGAGTTACACGAAAGAGTAAGACAGACAGACCTACAACCGGAGAAATGCCGGTATTTCTCCCATCCAGCTCCTCAGCGGGGCCCAGGGGGCCACTGCGGTCTGCATTTCTCACGTCCACTCAACACGGCACTATTTAAAACTCCGTCATGCCTGTTAGGAGTTACGCCTCTCACTCCTCAAGGACACTATGTTGCAACATCTTTTTTGTTGTTAATCCTCACCAGAGGATATTTTTTCCCATTGATTTTTAGGGAGGGAGGAAGGGAGGAAAGAGAGAGAAACATCGATCGGTTGCCATCCACATACACCCCAACTGGGGCCAGGGGTCAAACCTGCAACTTTGGTACTTGCCCTTGACCAGGAATCGAACCCGAGACCCTCTGGTGCGCAGGCCGGTGCTCTAACCATTGAGCAACACCGGCCAGGGCTATTTTGTAACTTTTAATTCTCTGGGGGAGTGCTGGCCGAGGTGCTCATTTCCCCCTCTAATCCACTTATTCTCTAACCCTGAAACAGCAAACACCGGGTATCATGGTGGGTCAGCACCTTCTCGAATACGCAGGCAGGCGAGTATTCTGAAAGAACGCTCCCTGCTCCCTGGATAAGACACAACTCGAGTCTTCCTCCGGGGCCCCAGCCCAGCCCCACTCAGGCGCTCCCCGAACACTGCCCAGTGCGGAGGAGAGCCACCGGACCGGCAAGGAACGGCTCCGTGCTTTTCTGAGTTGAAATGGGGTCAGTCAGCTTTATGGCTCCCGGGCGAGATCACGGTGTGCCGAGCTGCTCAGGAAAGGCTTCCTGGAGAAGGTGGGACGTCCTGACGCTGAAACGGTCGGCCAGCTGTTCAATGAGGCTTTCGCGGTAATGGCTACAGGTTCAACGGTTCTTCTTATCTTCAAGGGCTATGTAATCAACTGTCCGTCTTCTTTTGGGTCCCACAGATTCGACAAATGTTGCCCCTCCCCTCCATCCCCAACTAGAGAGACAGGTAAGAAGAATCTTAACTTATAGTTCTAACTTTAAAACAACAATTCTCCCTGTCCAGGTAGCTCAGTTGGTTGGAGCATCACCCCGATATACCAACGTTGTGGGTTCAATCCCTGGTCAGGGCACATACAAGACTCAACCAATGAATGCATGAATCAATGGAACAACAAATCGAGGTTTCCCTCTCTCTCTAAAATCAATAAATAAAACACAACAAAATAAAATGAAACCACTTTTTCCTTCATATTCTAAATTTAATTTCAGACACTGCCAGCTTGTTTTAGACTTCTTAATCACTTAGAAATATGTCAGTCACCCTTGCCTAAAAATAACGTTAATATTTACCAAGTCTATGTGCCAAGAACCGTGCTAAACGCTTTAAATGCATTGTCTCAATTGTCTTACCAAAGTAAGGCCTAGCACCCTCAATTTTCTCCTGAGGGAACAGGAAGTGAGGAAACTTGCCCAACATCTCAGTAAGTAATGACATCAGAATGGCAAACTTTGGGTCATCTTACTCCCAAGTTAGGGCTGCCATGCTGCCTTCTTTAATCGTGAAATAGTTTTTCCCATTGCGATGGCTCACTCTCAAAACCAAACTTTGTGAGTCCAATTTAGCAAGGCTTCTTTCTCTCTCTTGTTCTTTATTTCTTTCTTTCATTTATTTTTTTTTAGCACTAAGCAATTTTATTTAAGACTCTTAAAATTTCTTCTCATAGAATTTAGGGCCCAGGAGGAAAATCCCATCTCATACGTGCTGCAGTGTGACTGCCTGCGCTGAATGCAGTCGAAACCCTACCAGGGTTTCAAATACGTGGAGATTTGCAAAGCGCTGGGCAATGCGGGCAGCTGACCTTATTCTAAGCATCACCACCTTGACCTGGATCCTGTGACAACGAAGCCACAGAGGGGCACTGAAGGCTACAGATCTAGCCCAGGTGGTCTCAGGTGTGCTCCTGTAGACGTGTCTCCTCTCAAAGCGACCTCCCTAGAAATAAACCGCGTCTCTTCCCACCAGGAAGCCCGACTCCAGCATCTGAGTGCCTAACCACTGAGCACAAGGCCTCCTTTCATGTCCGACTCCTCAGAGGTGCCAAGGACACGGTGCTCACAGGCCTTTAATCTACACTCGCATCGGAACTGCCAACAGCCCCATGAAGCAGGAACCCAGGAATCACTGGCCTCATTCTGCAGACAGGGAGATGCAGGCTGACAGGGAGTGGCACTGCCCTGGTCCCTGGCCGACAGGTTCTGTGCTCCCCCCTCCAGCCAGGTGGCCAGTCATTTGCCTGTGATGATGATGGAGGGGACGGATCAACCAGACGGACGGATAAAGCTACCATCAACAGCAATGATTTTCCGAGATGGAATCTGGCTTAAATCTCTAGACCCATCAGAATGAATATTATCTATTTCTGCACATAAATTAAGTAACACAACTCGAATGTTCTAAATGCTTTCTGATCAAAGTATCGGGAAACCTACAAAGCCCTTTTAGCTCCATAATCAATTTCCCAGCTTCTCTGAAGTTCTTCAAGTAGAAGAGTTAGTTAGCCAGGGCAACTAAAGGGACCCACTCCACTCCTGAGAGATGGCCTGATAGAAAGGAAGAGAGTCAGTGGTCAGGGCTACAGTTCCTGTTCCACCATCATATGTGGACGAGTTGTTATGTAATTTAACCCCTCTTTCCCAAATTATAGACATGTTTCTCCTTCACACAGTAACACAAAAAGGGTGGGTCTAAAGGAACAGCCATTTCCCTATTTCTTATTCAGGACTTTGTGGGTTGAGTCAAATCACTGAAGTTGAGGGAAGTAAAGAAAGAAATATTGCATTGCTACAAATGTAGGGCAACTGTGTAAAATATTAAACTTTCCAAGGATCAGTTGTTTTTCTTAAAAACCAAGTACTGAGCCCTGGCCGGTGTGGCTCAGTTGGTTAGGCGTTGTTCTGTGCACCAGTCAGTGTCCGTGCCCAGGCTGTGGGCTCGATCCCTGGTAGGGAAGACAGCTGACTGATGTTTTGCTCCCACGTGGGTGCTTCTCTCTCCCCCCACCTTCCTCTCCCTAAAAATCAATAAAAATATTTTTAAAATCCACACAAAAAAATAGGTACTGAGAACACCATGTATATGTCACAGGGTGCTGTCACAGACACAGTCCACTTCGGGGTCAGCACTGAAAACAGCCTGTTAAGCGACTCAGCCAACATCATGAAGGTGTGGGTCAAGCTAGAAAATATTGGGAAATACAGAAATATTTAGCAGCCATACTTTTCGGTTCTGGTCTCCTGGTGACCTTTCAAAGCTATTCAATAGCCGCCCAATCTCCAGGAGCCATAGCTCTCTTGGAGATGCAAATTTTCCTACCTAGGTGTAGGGCAGCAGTCATGGCCCTTAGAAATAAGAATTTTCCTCCTTCCAGGTTTTGAACGAGGAGGCGGCGGCGGCATGTTCTTAGAACAATTCATTCTGAAAATGGAAAATGGCAGGACAGGACTCATGGTTTATTTCTGCGCATGGTGGGTTTTGGCTACCACGTATGATTAAGTAGCCAGGAACAGCTACGGCAAAACTGTGGCAAAGAATGCCATCGGTAATCAATAATACAAATAAGATGGTGTGATTTTAGTTCTGGTTCTTCTTGTTCTTGACCTCAAAATTGTTTTCTATGAGGGTAACAAACGTTCAGAATTTTAAAAAACTGGGGGGAGGAGAGACCAAAGGATCGAAATGGAAGTTAAAGTCCCCGTCCTCTAGTGATAGCACTGATATCACCCACACTGGAGTTGTTTCTTCTCTGAATTTTCTATTCATATCTATCGAGAACATAGCCAAAAAATTTACCTTTAAAAATACATATTTAACGTCTTTCTATGTCAATATATAGATCTACCTTATTCTTTTTAACAATGGTCTGATATTTAGTTATACAAATATACCATAATTTATTGAACTAGTCCCTACCTGTAAGCATTTAGAGTGTCCCAATTCTTTGCTGCAAAAAAATCCAAAAAATCCTTGCTTACCTATCTCTGTCCTAGAAATGAATACATTCCTGTGAGTGGAACCATGAGGTAAAAGGATCCGCGTATTCATTTTGGTAGGTGCTGCCAAACTGTCCCCCATGAGCGCTGCCTTAATTTATATCCCTACCAACAGAGTACAGATATGCCTGCTTCTCAATGCCTTGCCTCCAGTGGGTATTAAGAAACATGTTAGTCTTTAGATATTGATTTCTAATATTCTCAAATTTTCTCTTACTTCCATTGCATACAGCTTGGATGATTATAAAAACAAGACATTTGAGAAATAAATCTAATTCTGTTAAAGAATGCTGAAGAGCTTAACACTTAGATAGTCCTTGAGCTATCTGAAGCGAACTCCTTTTATAATGCGAGTGCTTGTGTTGTTATCATTAATAAATCTTCAAAATGGCAAAACAAAACGAACGTTGTATAGGCAGCAAAATATCAGATATAAGTTGTACTAGTAGCAATACCTTTACCAATACAGCTCTTAGGGCAATGGAAACTAAAGAGAAAATAAATGAACGGGACTACATCAAAATAGAAAGCTGCCGCACAGCAAAAGACCATCAACAACACAACAAGAAAGCCCACTGCATGGGAGAACATATTTGCGAATGTTATATCCGTTAAGCGTTTAATCTTCAAAATTGACAGGGAACTC